TTTGTCTATTTTTTTTAAATTACCTGTCAGTTTTCAGCGTCATATTGCCCTCTAATATAATTTCTTCAATCGCAGATGTAATGGCAATTGAATTCCAGAAGCGTGGTCTTCCCCATGCTCATATCTTGGTTTTCCTATCTGGAGAAGACAAATTAAAAGGTGCAAAGGAAATTGATTCAGTTATCTCTGCAGAAATTCCGAACCCCCATCTTGATCCCGAGGGCTACCGCGCTTTAAAATCGTATATGTTGCATGGACCATGTGGTGTTTTAGGACGTAACTCCCCTTGAATGGAAAAGGGTGTTTGTGGAAAACATTTTGCCAAACAGTACTCAGAGCAAACTATTATCGATGAATCTGGTTTTGGAAAATACCATCGTCGTGATAGTGGCATAACTGTTGAAGTTAATAATGTTCCTCTCGATAATCGATTTGTAGTCCCTTACAATCGATATCTACTACTACGTTTCGAAGCTCACATCAATGTTGAATTCTGCAACAAATCTAGGTATGGTTTACGTTCTAATAATGTCCTCTTCAGTATCGTTGGTTGGGGTGTTGGCTGTTGTCAGACTGTTTTGCATGTTATTTTAGATGTCAACTTTTCCTGTTGCAAACAAAATATACAATGTTTATTAGTACTGTTAATTTTGTTGGAATTCAACATATATGTAATGTTTTGCCAATTCCAGTTCCAAGTTATCTGCATATAGAGACAAAATCAATTAATGGAAGTGATTTGACATGGCAGAATAAAAATCATTTTGTTAAGGCTGTTTACATGTTGTTGGCCGTTTTGAACTAAGAAATATTTACACAATTTATCTACCTATTGTTTTCACAAGTTTTGCTAAGAAGTCTTATTCCTCCTGGCGGATTACCTTTTTCATCAATTTAAATAACTAAAATTTGGATGGTACGCCATTCATAAGCAAAAAGTCAACTTATGCATTTTTACTGTCTTTGGTGTCAGTGTATATGTAATCCGCACTATCTACTTTGTGTAGGGCTATAAAATATCTCTTCAAATACATTAACAAACCAGAGGACAGAGCAAAGGCATCATTGGTTGATAATCCTTCGTCTGTAGAGATTCAGGATGTTGGTGCATCTTCCCGCACGGTCTAGCGTATCGATGAGATCAAGGCTTTTTTAGATTGTCGATACATAACTTCGGGAGAAGCATGTTGGAGATTGTTCAAGTTTGAACTCTATAGTCAGTGCCCATCAGTTTTACGTATGTCATATCATTTACCGGGTGAGAATGTCGTTGTCTCCAACCATAGATCAACGGCCCAAGGTTTGCTGCACTCAAAGCGTGCCAACACTTCAATGCTGCTGGGCTGGATGCAAATGAACAAGCTGTCCCATGAGGCAAGAAAGTATACTTATGTTGAATTTCCTCAACATTTTTTCTGGAATTCAACTAAGAGGGAGTGGCACCGGAGAAAGTCAAAATTCTGTATTGGCAGGTTATACAACTGTAATCCTTCCCCAAATAATGATCGTTTCTACCTACGTATGCTGCTCAATGTTGTTAGAGGTTGTTGCAGTTTTGATGAAATCAAGACTGTCAATGGAGAGGTACATAAATCTTTTAAGGAAGCATGTTATGCCCATGGATTGTTAGCTGAGGATAATGAGTAGAATGATTGTTTGAAAGAAGCAGCTTTTTGGGCTACTGGATATAAACTGCGAGCTTTGTTTGTCACTATTCTCACTCATTGTCAGGTATCCAACATTGGTAGTTTCTGGGCCAACAATTGGGAACTATTATCAGATGATATCTTACACACTCGCCGGAAGGAGCTGAACATGCCTGCCTTAGTCATGAGTGAAGAACAGCTCAAGGAAGCTTGCTTGCTCGAGATTAGCAAACTTTTGGCAAGTCACTGCCAATCTCTTTCAGATTTTCCTGGTCTGCCGGTTCCTACTTCCTTCACTTTAGCATCTTCATCTAATCGACTGCTTGCAGCTGAACTTTGTTACAATTCCGGAGAACTTCTGCATCAATTTCATGATAAAATTTCCAAGTTAAATGCTGAACAAAGATTAGCATTTGATGAGATCATGGACTCTGTGTATGGTGATGCTAGAAAATCCTTTTTTATTAATGGATTAGGAGGTACTGGGAAGACTTTTCTGTGGCAGGTAATTTGCATGAAACTGCGATCTGAGAATAAAGTTGTTCTGTGCGTTGCTTCTTCTGGAATTGCAGCTTTGTTAATGGAGGGTGGTCGGACAGCACATTCACACTTTCGCATCCCTGTTGATTTGGATGCAAAATCAACATGTAACATCCAACAAGGAAGTGATTTAGCAGAATTGATTCAGCGTGCTTCATTAGTAATTTGGGATGAGGTTGTTATGTCACACAAACATTGTGTTGAAGCAGTTGACAAGTCCTTAAGGGATATTTTACGCCCCCGGTTCCAAAACAGTGAGACAAAGCCATTTGGAGGTTTGACCATGGTATTTGGTGGGGATTTCAGACAAACTTTGCCTATAGTTCCTAAGGGGTCACGCTCTGACATTGTCAACTCATCTATTAAGAGATCGTACTTATGGAGATATTTCAAGGTGATTACATTAACTCAGAACATGAGGTTAGCTCAAGCTAATTGTTCACCGGAGGAAGCTGAGGAAATCAATGACTTTAACACATGGCTCTTACATGTTGGTGATGCACCGGAGTCCAATGTGTTTGGTGAGTCTACTATTCCTATTCCACAAGAGCTTTTAGTTAACCGAGAAGTAGATCCTGTTATTGATATCGTTCGGTCGACTTATGGCAATCTTCAGCAACAATATACAGAATCCCATTACTTGGTTAGTCGAGCTATTCTAGCACCTCACCATGATATGGTATCTTCAATTAATGCTAATGTTTTAGCCGCATTCCCTGGGGAGGAAGTAACATATTACAGCTCGGATTCCATACAAATGGATCATGGAAATGAACAAGTTGTCGATGCAGATTATACAGTTGAGTTCTTAAATACGTTGAGTATTGGTAATTTTCCAGACTATGAGCTTAAGCTTAAAGTTGGTTGCCCTGTCATTCTGCTTCAAAATATGGACCAAACTACAGGATTATGTAACGGTACCAGAATGATCGTAAAGACAATGGGGAAGTGGTTTATTGAAGTCGAAATCATTACAGGAAATCATGTTGGTGATCGGGTCTTCTTGCCTCGACTGACATTAGCAACATATTACAAGTCATTGAACTTCACTCTATTACGAAGGCAGTTTCCTGTGGCTCTTTGTTTTGCTATGACGATTAATAAAAGTCAAGGTCAGACTCTTAATCATTTTTGTGTCTTCATGAACAAGTTTTTTCTCATGGACAACTTTATGTGGCGTTGTCAAGAGTCACAAGGAAAGGGGGAATCAAGATCTTCAGTTCCCATTTATCAGAAGATGGTGTACCTTCTGTTCTTAATATTGTATATGGGGAGATTTTTGAATGACTCTGGAATCTGAATCAGCAAAATTGAGTTGGTAAGAGAATGACCTGTTTCCAATCTCACTCTATTGGTTTCATAATAGATTCCAAGATTCACAATTCAATTATACATAATATGTTCTTTAAAATCGACATAATGAGGCCATGCATTACTTTCATTTCTTTTTAGTTTTGCTTCTGTTACCAGATTTGTCAATATATCCCTTATCTAAAACACTTTTATGCTTTGTTTTATTTTGTCATGGTTTGGAACATTTTCAGGAGAGCAAGAACGATTATTGATTGGACACCTAAAATTTCTAGGAGCAATGGCAGGAATATTTTTGGATGGTGTACCTGTTCGCTTATCTTCCACAACAGCTCATGCCAGGATAACGAAAACTAATATTGATTTTAGTTTTGTCGACAATGGTATTTTGGTATTATGCATGTTCATTCTTCACTTGATTTTGGAGTAACTATGCTAGATGATTTCCCATAATACTCTTTATAAGTTGAATATCAGAGTTTAATTATCAATCACATTTCATATTTCTCTGGTGTCACTATATATACTTTGTGTATTCAATATAGTCTTACATTTGGAATTCAATAAATTAGTTTCACTCATCGTGGCCTAACTAAAACAATAAACCAATCTATGCCAATTCTATCAATTGAAGTTGAGAATTTTGTTGTCTTTAGCAGATAATGGGCCAGTCCACTTGCCGAGACAACCTACTTCTCAATGCGAATATTTTTAAAAAAACTCAATAAAGAGTCTCGGCATCTCCGACGTCGTAATATTCTCATTCGTCTCTACTTCCGGCGAGTCTTCGTCAATGATACTAAACCATCATTGATCCATTTTCCAAACATAATTGGCCCAGCCCACTTACCGACAAGCCCTACTTCCAATTACGAATCAACAAACCAGCCTAAATCAAGAGTCTCGACCCGGCGACGTCGTATTGTCCACATACCCCTCTACTTCCTGCGTGTATTCGTCGTTGACACTGAACCACCATCGATTCACCTGCTTCGGTGGTCCAACTCTGAAAAAGCAACTTCATTCTTCCCAGCAGAGACTAGCGGAACCTATCGAGCTATTTTTTGTCAGAAGGTTTGATTTCTTACTTCAAACTTCTTCAACTTCCCTGTTCAATTATCTCGATTTCAATTAATTTAGTGTTTTCGATATAGCCTAGAAAGGCACTGCAGAAAGGGGCGAATTACGTCCGATTCGTCAATAGCATTTTTTTGGCATTGGTTCTCTTCTTTCGGTTTACTACTGGAATGTGTACTGCGAAGCGGTTACGCGATAGAGTCCCACGAATGTCGTTCTTAGTGGCAGACGTGGTTCGTTGCTCTATCCACAACCGTCTTCCACAGCAGTTATTCAACACAGTCCACGTCATTCATCTCATACAAAAAACCTCCATTCTACCAGGTATGTTTCAACACCCGTAAATTTAACATTTATAACCTCTGTTTTTTGCACTTTCTACTCATTGGAGTAAACTCCACTTACCTGTCCTATCCCCTCCACAAGATGGAATTCACTTCCATAGGAGAGCTTTCCCCAAATCAACGACCATGCAAGCTCAAATGTCGTGTTTCTCGACTGTGGGTTGCTACAAATATCAACACAGACATCGTTTGCCACTTGGATATGATCTTGCTAGATTCACAGGTCTATACTACCTCATCTAGGACCTCAATGCTTCAGATTTTCTCGCTATTACAATGCTCTAACTTCGTTTCTTCATTGACAGGGAAATGACATCTGGGTGCAAATTCCACCTTTGCTCATGAAGATTTTCCAGCCACTTCTGAAAGATCAGGAAGTTTATACTTTCAGCAACTTCAAAGTCCAATCCGCACCACAGGAATATCGACCGATTGCCAATGACAATATCATCATATTTTCTGGGAAAACCTCTGTTCAACAAATCCCAGACGTCCCTCGCTCCATACCGACTTTCAAATTCACATTCATGAATGCAGCTCAAATCAAAAGGAACCTTAATAAAATAGATATTCTATCAGGTGCTTTCTACTTTGCCATACTCTTTTTCTCTGGTTTTTTCACCATTTATGGAACTCAACTATTATTTACAGAAGTTGTTTTTGTTAGAGTTTGATAAGTTGTTATTATACTCTTTACCAATCGAATCAGAAGTGTTAATGACCATCAGATTGGTTAGGTATACTGTATACTATCTTAATTCAAGTCTAGAAGTTCCTAGGATAGTCTCTCTGTTTTAGTGTGCACAACCTTGCGTATTTTCGTCAGTTTAAGTAGAGTATGACCTGAACTAATGTATCCCTTGATTTCCAGATGTTGTTGGTCAGGTGCAACATGTATCAGAGCGTAAAACTTCATGCAAGGGCGGTCGAAAAACTACTCGGAGACACATCTCCCTGAAACTGATTGAGTTTGTTCTATTGCCTATCTAATTAGATAGATTCATACAATATTTATCAACCTATTTTTCCTTGAGATTTGCTGGTTGCTTTCTATTTCAATTTTTGTAGAGGGGATGTGTGTGTCTGTTGTTGTGTTTGGAAGACTTCTACCTCTTTTGGAGAGCTTTGTCAACGCTTCAGGAACAGCTTCTTTCGTAATAGTTATTACTTCCATACGAGTTACACCATTCCAGGGTAAACTTTTGGTTTTTATATATTCAGTCTCAAACATGAAATATAAAAAATACATATTCATTGTTTTGTTGTTTGTGTATTATGTATGTAGGAGATTGCTCTTTGTCCTCGACATCCTCAACCTATTTGTTCTCGAATATCGATATCCCTGAAGTCAATGCCTTTCTAAATGGGTATAGTCGTCTCTCTTAATTTGAATGATAGACATTAATAAACAAATTATGATGTAATCGTGTATTCATTGGCTCTTGAAATTAGGAATAATGAAAATGCTGCACCTGTCTTGCTGGAGGAACCTTCTACTCCTGAAGTTCCCATAGTTACTCTAGCTGAACTTCAGAACTTGAGCTTAGACATGTAAAATGAGGTTATAACGTTCCAATTCGTGCTTGATGTCCACATTGTACTTCTCACATTTCAATCTTTTAAATTGTGTTTTTTTTTAATAGGACAATGTTTATTCTGTTGAGGGTAAAGTTGTCGATCTGCATCCTTTGTGGTGTTACCTCAGCTGCCCTACATGCGTCTATAAAGCTCCAGAAGATCAGGATACCTACCATTGTACAAAGTGCAACAAAACTACAACTATCAAGGCTGCAAAGTATGATTTCAACTTTTTCATGAACAACACATCACTTTGTTCTTTTACTCTCATTTATTTATCAAACAAAGACCTCACTTATTATTCAAAACTTTTTCGTATGTAGATATCGTCTGCGACTTGAAGTTGTTAGTGATGACACATCGGCCTCTTTTGTCATGTTTGAAAATGTTGGCGAAAACTTTTTTGGGCTGCCTGCTAACCAGTTATTCCTTGAAAATGGTGGCTTGAAAGATTCTCCACCGGAGATTATACTTAAAATTCTAGGAATGACTCTCAAGTTTCATGTGAAAATCAAAATCAGCATGTATACAAGGAGCAAACCAGACTTCACTGTTGTCAAAATTGATCCAGACTCCATAGATGTAAGTTCTCTTTTTTTAATTTCTCATCTCATATTCATTTGTGGACTTAGTTAGCCGAATTACTTATTGCTGTCACTGTAGAATAGACTCTACTAACTTTGGTTTACACCCAGTTTTGAATCATAATGTATTTGGTCATTTTTTAAGCGCTTTAGTTGCGGTTATGGTGTATTGATAGAATTATCAGACCACTTATTATTTTATATTTAATCTTTATAACACTTATGCTCTATTTATTGACATATTTCTTATGTTGTTTACTTTCCAGTGGTTGTAACCAAACTATAGCTAATGCCTACTATCTCTCATTTTTATTTTTCAGGATCTCCCCGCCACATTGCAGAAGGCTGCCTCCACCCAGTCAATTCACAGTGACATTGAGAATTCAAGGAGTTCTTCTCAAATCTCAGACCCCCTGTGTACTGCAGTTAAAGACACTGATGGCGAGAAAACCCCATGCACTTCTCTCAAACGAAAGCAACCTATTGAATGAGATCTTGATCCGTTGTTATTTATCCTCTCACAGACGTTTCATTTTATGTTTTGCTTTTCCTGTTTCCTATCCTTAATGGATAAAGTCAGTCCCTGACTAATGACACAGGTGCTTCATGTGTTAAACTTTTTTTTTTAATGTTGGATTTAAGATGGTATGTTTGGTCTATGTTGAATACTTTCGACTGCAGTTTTTTATGTTTATATTTTACTCCATTTGTCTACATTTTATTTACATATTTGCTTACCTTTGTTCAGCTAAACCGTTGTTGTTTTTCTCTAGGTTCTTTGTTTCATATTGAGCTGTTTGAACTATTCAGGCATAAATCAATTTTTCCCTCATTTATAAATTGATGTGAAATCAGCTAATCATGGACACTTATTAAATATTTTGATACTTTGTTTTTAAGGGAAAACTTGACTCTTCTTACACAGAAAACGAAGAAACAAAAATAGAGAACTATCCCTGTCCTAGAAATAATTAATTTCCAAGATAAAGAACTCGGACATTTTTGGAATTATTAGGTAAGCGATGTCCATAATTAAAAAAGTTAAACACTTCTGTTCCAAACTAAAATCCTCTACCAACATAGAGTCAATGACTGAAGATGAATTTCAGACCAATTAGTTACAACTACTAATATGTTATTCGGCCCATCTAATTTCTTCAAGTTATGAAGCCCATTTGTTGGCCCTATAGAATTACACCGAGATTCCCATGACAACAGCCCAAACACTTCCTCATTAGGCCAACTAACCTATCTTCTCTAATCAATATTCCATACTGCTAACAAAACATCATTCAACCTCCTAGACTCATCTGACCACGACATACTCACAGATTTCCTTCGATGGCTTCAATTTGATGTGAATGAAATCCCGGCATATTCAGCTCAGGTTCAGAGGCATCTTCCACAGCGTTGATCTATCGGTAGATAGTTGACTAATGTCAACTACTTCAGCTGCCACAATCTTGATAGTTCGTTACTCAGGTACGAACCCCAATTTCTCGATATCGAAATCCATCACCACTTTAGCAGTTACAAAAAATTGATTCTTCAACTGCCACACCGCCCACTACTAGCAAAAAGCATCACGTTCTAATTATCAATTTTGTAACCATAAAAATTAACTACTATCCATTCACCCTGTAAAACCCCTTCTCCGAAAGAACCAGACACTTTCCTCTCTACAATCAACATGAATATTGTCTTTGACGCTTTGTCCGATGTTTTCCCACAACAGAAACGAGTTTGGAAAGTGGAAGCTCGGGTTTTACGTGTGTGGCCAATTACAGGGGCAAACAAAGACCACATATTATGGCTCAATTTACTCTTGATCGACCGCAAGGTATAGTGTTTCTTTCCGTTTCTTGGATAATTGTCTGGATAATTGTAAGACAACTCTGACAATATACAATGCTTTAGGGAACTTCAATGGAAGCTGTTATACCGATTACTGAACTCCAGACTTTTCAACAGAAGATTAGCGAAGGAATGGTTTATTCAATTTCAAATTTTGAGGTGGAAGCTGCAGCTGTGAGGTTCAAAGTTGCCATGTCGAACCATCGAGTTCACTTCACGCGAAACACAGAACTAACTATCATGGATGACACCCCAGAAATCCCTGCATTCAACTTCCAGTTTCTTACACCTTCCCATTTCCAGGCAGCTTATGAAAATGAGGAATATTTGGCAGGTTTGTTGTTTCATTTGTGTTCATATGATTTCATACTAATTTGTATGCATAGGACTTAGGTGTCTATACTCATTCACTGATTGCAAGAATCGGAAAGTTACAAAAAATGTGATCGCATACAATTTTGTCAGATTTAGTTGGTGAAATTCATATGACTGATCCTGTCTTCGAGTTGTCTGAAGATGGGTGGCATATCCGTCGGAAAAATGTGTACCTCAAACTATTTATGTGAGTAGTCTATTTTTACCGATGAACCCTATATGTAATAGATCATATTCTTGACCTCGACATACTGAACTATTGCTACTGCGTAGGGGACCTATTGTCAGAGTTGTATTGAATGACTCTTTGATTGATGATTTCCAAACTGTTGTTCGTGATCAGCCACAACCAGGACTCATCTGCGTAGTCACATCCCTATTCACTCACAAGAACACAGGTTATCCCTATTTACGAGATCCATCCTCATATGTTGCCGAAATACATACACTAATTGTTTTCCAAATTTAACGAGTTGTTATTATAAGTGCAGGTCAATTCTATTTTGATACCTCAGCAGCTTCTAAATTATATTTCAATTTGATTTGTCCAGACCAACACCCTTTATTAAATCCGTAAGATCCTCATAGCATACCTGGATACTTCTAACAATAGGAAGCTGTTTATTGGTTTAAAATTGTAATTGTGTTTCCTATATAGGTCAAATGGAATGAATTGGACATATGAAAATGCAAAACACATTGCACAAGCTTGCTCGATTGAAGAATTCCTTGCCCTTCAGCAATCGCCTATGACAATGGTACTCTTTTATAATTTCTCCGACGTCAATCTATCTGATTCTCCATGTCTTTTTACATTGAACATGTAGCTTTGTTTACACTCATGACTATTTTTTTATCTAGCTATTAACATGGCAGCATATAAATGTATTCTCTCCAACTTTCGTACCCTACATATTCTTCAATTACGTACTATTGCCACCAAAACGTTTGACATTTTATTTTGGTTGCAGGGTCATGATTACATCCTTAAGGGATTTATCTCAAATTTATGTGTGGTATGGTCACCCCCAAGAAGACAATTTATTATCCAGCTTAGAATTCGTGATTACTATGCAGAGTGTGATGTCTCATTTATATCAATCAATTTTAGAGCCATTACCCATTCCGTCATGCCAACCATTGACGATTACGATTGGGACAACCATTTCGCGGAAGCTTTGAAATCCATTAGAGGGAGACCCTTTAGTTTTTTACTTACACTTCACCATGCATGCTATATGGGAAGCAAATCTCATGTGCTTCTTCGTGCACTATTACCGTACTAAACAATAAGTGTCTTTTAGTGGTCGTTAGGTTCATTTGTGTAGTTTTGTTCCTCATATATCATTTGCTAGATGTTCTAATACACAAAATGCATTTTTCAGACTATGTTTCTAAGTTGTATTTATTTGAACTTGCTTAATTGTTAATTCGTATTCTGTTCACTTATGAACTACCATTTGTTGGCTTTGTGAATAACCCATGTCTGTTTTTTATTTGTGTTAAATTGGTTTGCGAGTTAGCTTTCTCAACACATATCTCATATAATTAACGGAAGAGATTTGGAACTATATCGCATTAATTGTAGCACTGTTATGTAATTCAAACGTGGTAATTATTCAATACAATTAAATCACTGGCTTTGTATACAATACTAGATTGAAAAATCAGAAAAGGAACCTGCTCTATAATTAATTTCGCAGCAACATTTATCTGCCAGTTTCACTCCTTTACCATTACAGAAATTTTCTAGGACCACCTTCCTTCCTTTTTCGCTCCTCCTCTCTCTCGGTTTCTCTCTCTATATTTCTGTGTTTTGATTTTTGTTAATTTGGTTTGTGAGTTGGCAGTCTAACTAGACTATTTCATATAATTAATAGAAGGCATATGGGACTAAAATGAATTAATAGATACACTGTTGTATAATTCTCACATTGTTAAGTCAATGGGACATGTAATGAATTTATTTTTTTTGGTGTCAAAACCAATCAATTCACATCTACCAAGACTCATTTGTTAAACGTACCATAACTAAATTAAATACATATTTTACATCAAGTTCCACCTCAAAAGGATAATAACCTTACAAAAGATATTAGCGTTATATATCCATTATCCATTATGCTTACAGAACGTTAGAGATTACAGAGAGGTGGACCATTACTAACATTAATTCAATAATATTAATGAAACCCAGTACTACTTAGTTATCTACACGTGGGAACAACTTGACCAAGAAGAGATCAAAATAATTCCCCACGTCATTCCAAGGACCGAATGTGACCAAGACCTCATATCCATTCTCACCAATCATGTTCAGAAGTGTGACATAGTCCGCATTCTGAATCTCAAAAGGACTAACAACCGACGACATGATTCTCCGTAAGTAAGCTGATGGGAACACGATCTCAACATCAGTAATGTCATCCTCAATGGTCAAGTGAATCAAATATACCCTTGATGCCTCACACCAAGATCTCCTCAACTCTGTTACAACGCCCGAGAAAATGTACGAATTGCCCTGATATAATCCAAAACATAAGAAGTTCAAAATAATACCAAATCATATTCAAATCATTGACATAAGAAATAGGAAACGATAGATAACAACCAAGTTATCTTAGTCACCTGATGAGCACCATCCAACTGCATTGGGATAAGATCTATAGTTTCCACGTGCTGAGAAATTGCTACGACAGTTTGATAATTGAGATTCGTAACAAAATCGTCCCCCATGGTAAAAAACCTATCATTTATATCATAATCAATATTAGCAATTGTATTGACTGGTGGTGACAACACAACAATATGTTTATTACGAATTTTTTAAGAAACAATTACTCACGAGTTCCATTCAGGTATGATATCCATTTTCAAATATAAGTCAACCTTATTTCCGTCTACCCAATCTCTATTTTTTGTAGTAGCAGCCATTTTAGGATCATCAAAACAAACATTGTTAGTTGTTATTTGGGACCACAATGCATATCACACTTGCGATGTTTAATTAATAACCAATTACTATTTTACTTAACCAATATCAAATAGATTCTGATCAAGTATAGTAAAAGAGATTCGAGTTCTACACTAATCAACTAATAATGGTCAAAGAAAGATAACCAAACAAGATCAAAACAAGACATAACTCTTTCAATCCTACGATTAAGTTTTCAATTGAACATGGATTTAACTTCTTTTGACTTATTGATCTTTTATCCTTGCCTGGATATTCGATTCGTAACTACAACACTATATACTGTTTTTTCAAACTTTAATGAAAACTCTTATACACATGACTGAACTCCACTACGTATTAGAGAACCAATATACAATGTTTTGGTTGTATGCAACACACAGTTTGTATTCAGATCCACGAAAATCAGATTGAACTAAACGTTCTCAACTATTGATTAATACTGTCTTACAATCGATAAATCATCCCTAATCATGTTCCTCATTTTAGTAAATCCAACCACATTTTATGAGAAGTCATTGAACCAAACGTACCTGTGAAACTCGCAAGGTTTTGCTTGGAGTCTCGATCTGAAAAGTTCCTGAAACATAAGATGTCAGCAGATCGGGGAAAACAAACTTCAATCATAGGATTCGTAGTCCGGTGAAGATGCATATACCTTAACAAAATCTGGAAATGCTTTGGGCACCTTCGCCTGGATTATCAGAGCACACCAAAAACCTCGCTACTGTAGAAAGAATGCAAGAACAGATGTGAAGAGATAGTGTTTGAAAATTAATTGCTGGAACTAAGTATACATTCAGTCCCGCAGACAGGACGAGAAAGAATAACGGCCATGCAAAGATTTTGGTACCTTTTGCTTTCTTCGTCGGAGCTGGAACAGAGAAATGGAAGGGGAAGAAGGAAGTCGAACAGTTTCTGTCTGGTTTTGGAACTTTTTGTTTGATTAATAAATTTACCCATTATATAAAAGCAAAGGGGGGAAATTTGGGCCCATAATCCAATTGATAAATGAAATACAGCTCCGACTGGGCCTTCCATTGGATTATGGCTGGATTAATGGTCTCTAGCCGGCCAACGGGCCGGCCCTATACTAGTTGTTTTTATAGGGTTGTGCTCGGCACTGGGGCTTTGTTGTTGTCTCCCTGGCGTGTTTTTGTTTTTTCTTGTACTTTAATTTTCTCTCCCTTTTGTTTTATTATCTAATAATATTATGTCACCTTTACAAAAAAAAATAGAGGAGAGAATTGTTTTTCCCCTCAAAACCTAAGAGGAGAAAATCATTAATAGGCAGTAACTGCTACAAAAATAAGATCATTTGGTACTTGCATGTTACATTATATTTTCATATAACTTTCACAAATACAAAAAATAAAAAGTTATAAAAAAATAAAAAAAGGCAAAGAGGAAATTGTGATAGAGTTTTTTCCATAAGGAATTTGTTTTTCCACAGTAAAAACATACTATGATTGGTTGAAGAGGTGTTGATGTGTAAGTATGAATGAAGAGGAGATTCGTAATGAGAAGGTCTTAACGGGAAAATATTTGTTAGGCAATGGTGGTTTTGTAACATCTCGAACTTTTTTCTGGTGAAGATATTGTCCGCTTTAGGTCTAAACCCTCACGGTTTTTGACATGGGGTGCAATTTAAACTGACTTCCCATAAGGACACCCATCCTTTTTGTACTCCATACTGAGCGCGTTTAACTCAGAGTTCTCACAAGAACTCCTCCATTATACCCCCCAAAATGCATCTTGCCAGTTAAGGCCGATTTCTTACTTATGAACCATTGATCTCTCATGTGCTTTGTCGATGTGTGATTTGCCTAAAGTTTTCTACATGTTCTCTTTTTTATCTTTTAAGAATTGAAAGAAAAAAAATTCTTTCTAGAATCGCTCGATACCTTTGTATATAGGATTAGCGTGTGGCAATATCATTTGCAGCACCATAATGTTGTTCTATACATATCATATACGAGACGATAGAGTGCTAATACAACTTAGTGTTAGCATCATGTTAACATAATCCATTAAAGGTATTATAGTAACTACTCACTTATAGGTTTGGCACCTAAACTTAATAAATTTTAAGATTAATTTTTTTTTTTTTTTTGCATATGGGTCTTTAAGAAGTAGATGAAAATTACATTTAGTACCTAATTTTGTTTTTGTCTTGCATTTTGCTAACTAAACATTTTTTATTTTTTCAAATAGATCCAATTTTTTGAGGTTTCTAGTCTACTTTAAGAAAGTTGTGGTATGTTTTATGAGGTTCTTATCTAATTCAAGAAACTTGTGGTATGCTTTAGTAACTTGTGATCTTTCCCATACGTGTGGTATGCCCCCATGTGGTTTTTTATCTGCTTTAAGAAACTTGTGGTATGCTTTAGTTACACGGTGGCTCCCAGCAACGCTAAAACCTCTGGGGGCATACCACAAGTAAGGGAAAGATCACAAGTTACTAAAGCATACCACAAGTTTCTTGAAATTTATAGGTTTGGCACCTAAACTTAAAAAATTTTAAGATTTAGTTTTTTTTTTTTTTGCATATGAGTTTAAAAAATTGATGAAAATTACATTTAGTACCTAATTTTTTTTGTCTTACATTTTGATAACTAAACGTTTTTTATTTTTTCAAATAGATCCAAGTTTTTGAGGTTTCTAGTCTACTTTAAGAAAGTTGTGGTATGTTTTATGAGGTTCTCATCTAATTCAAGAAACTTGTGGTATGCTTTTAGTAACTTGTGATCTTTCCCTTGTGGTATGCTCCCACGAGGTTTTTTATCTGCTTTAAGAAACTTGTCGTATGCTAGTTACACGGTGGCTCCCGGCAGCGCTAAAAAATAGAGGAAATTAGATCCAAAACCAAAAAAAAAAAAACGAGGAAAGTGCCCCATCTCACTAAGGTGGCGTCTCGCGAGCACAAACAGCTAACGAAAAGACAACGAATCAAACATAGTGGCTGAAAATACTAGGGTGGCGCTCCGAAAGAGGCTTACCCACTGTGGTGGCGCTCCGAAAATCCAAACCACTAGTGTTGCACTAAAATAAGCAATCAATCCTAGCGGAGGCTCCCATAGGAAAGAAAACAAAACATGGGTAAAGTCGGAAACAATTGAGGAAGCCTGATTCCAGATCTAATAAACCCCAGGTGGCGCTCCAAAAATCCAAAACACTGGTGTGGCATTCAAATAAGCAATCAATCCTAGCGGTGGCGCCCAAAGAAATAATAAAACATGGGTAACGTCGGGAATGATTGAGTAAGCAGGATTCCATATCTAATAAACCCTAAGACGAGTCGCCCTCAATCATCATAAAATGGAGGAGCGAAATCGGAAGACACTTGGTGACGCCCAAACACACAAGATAAGAGGAGATGCGCGACAAAAAAAGCCTTACATGTTGAGTTTTGTCGAGGGCGACGCCCGCGAGGAGAACTACCGAAGGAGGCGCCAACGGAATAGAGGAGGCGGCAGAGAGGTGAGATACCGATTGAAGGGGAAATATGAAGGATGGCGTGCGAGATGGAAAGACTTACTTTTCTTGTCTAGGGTGGCGCCCACGGGGGGAACCGTTGAAGGAGGCGCCTGCGGAAAGAGGAGGTGTCGGAGAAAGGGAGAATTGTGGGCTCGAAAATTTGGTGGAAGGGGAGAAATGAAGGGGAAGGGGATGGTCATGTTTAAATGATAAGAAGGGGGGGGGGTGAGAGAGAGAGAGAGAGAGAGAAACACACGCCCTTCGAGGTGGGCAGCCCAGAAGCCCAATCCAACACAATTTCCTTTCCTAAATCGTGTTTCTTTCCTGGGTGGGTCGAGCCTCAAAGTCACCATGGCCGACTCGTCCTAGGTATTCTTTCTCTTATATTTATTTTATTTTAGTTCGTATTTCATGCTTTTAAACTCGTTTATTTTCGAACTTAAGTGTTGTCTATCCTTTATGAATTTCTACCAAGAGGCACCCTAGTCATGAAGAAAAAAGAGTACTTGTTTGACGATACCACAATGCTTGCGCCATCACCAAAAGGGAAATTGATAGGGCATCCTAATTGCTAAGGTATAAGGGGCAAAACCCTAGCTATGCCCTAATTGATGACATAATGAAAGAAGAAGATAAAAGAATTGAAGGAGACAAGATCAAGGGACAAAGCCAAGCACCTGACATCAGCAAGGACAGAGTACAAGTGGACATCTTCTGGTAGAAAGTACAATGTACAATGTACAGTGTCAGAATGTCTGAGGCTCCTGACCACAGCATTTATGGCTAGGTAGGCGCCTGCACCACGACCTAACTTTTGGACTTGTATAAATAGGAGTTTTCTCCTCAGAAATGACAAGCTATCTACATTTTACTCCAACTTTTCTCTACATTTCTCTTCTCTCTTCCTAGAGACGGGGCGCCTGCATTCTCTAGGTCATGCCTGACTCCACAAACCCTTTGGACCCAAGTGACCCCCGTCGCTTGGGCTCAAACAGAAACTTATGACCTGCTTTAAAAAACTTGTGGTATGTTTTGTGAGATTTCTTGTATGCTTTAGAGAACTTGTGGCATGCTTTAAGAAATTTGTGGTATGCTTTAATATAGGGCCAGGCTTGAGCTTGTGCATACAGGGCCTCAAAATAATTAGGGTATCAGCCTATCAGCTTATATAAATTGTTAGGTGAGATATTATTCATTAATTAATTTATTGTATAAATTTTATTTTATTAGATTAGAACAATTAGAGCCACATTTAATGTAAGGAACATGGCCTCCATAATTTCAGTTTTAATAAATTTATGGTATGCTTTATAAGATTTCTGTTCTACTTCTGGAAACTTAAGTTTGCTTTTAAGAAATTTGTGGTTTAGTTCAGAGAACTTTTGGTATGATTCAAGAAACTTGTGATATGTTTTATGAAATTTCTGATATACTAATGTGTGGTGTGGTTTGAAATTTTTTTGTATGCTTGGTTTGAAATTTTTTTGTATGCTTTTACGAATTTTGTGGTGCGGTGAGGTTCTGGTATGTTTTATAATTTTCTTGCCATGCTTTATGGTATTTGTGGTGTGCTTTGTTGCATTGTTGGACTGTGTTTGTGGTCTGCTTCATGATACTTGTGATGAGGGGCGAGACCCGAATTAATGTAAAGTGTCACACGAGTGTGCCTCCTAAATTTTAATATTGACTAATGTATCCTTCCATTTATAAATATGCATGAATTATGATCAACCCCTTGGAATAAAAGTTATCAAAAAGAAATATTTCTTTGGGTAAACACCCATAAATGGGATCAGTTAGTTTGACAACCCCCTAAGAGGTTGAAAAAAGACACCCCGTATTAATTATAGTTATTTTTGTATTAAATTCGTGTTGCATTTAATAATTGTTGATAATTAAAAACTCATATGAATAACATTCCTTTTTTTTTAAACTACCATTGAACTGATACAACTACTATTGCACTCGTACATTGATACCATTGTACCAGTACACTAATACCATTTCACTTATACAACTACCATTGCACTGAAAAAAGGAAAGTAATTAATATGAATTTTTAATTCAGACATATTATTAAATACAACACAAATTAATAGTTTAAAAATCTATAATTAATAGGGGTGTCATTTTTCTAACCTTTTAGGTGTAGTCATGCTATCTCACCCTGTAAAGTGCCAAACCATTCAAGTAATGGACATAAATAGCAAAGACTATTGTATAAAATAGCCAAAATTTCCAATATGCTAAAAAAATACAGTCATTTGTTGGTTTCATCATTAAATATGCTGACGTGGATGACAAAAAAATTGATGAGAATGGGATTCTACGACTCGTCATGGAGATATTTCAGTCTAGTTAATCTGCTAACAAGCTAAGTTGTTAGTATATACTAACTGATATCCAAATGCATGAATTAGTATCCAAGTCTGTTGCTTTTATGAAGTAATAGTAAAGTATCTAGACAACACAAAATAGTATTCATACATCACATAATTAGTATCCAGACAACACATAAGAGTATCTATACAACGCATAATAGTATCCATACATAACATAATTAGTATCTAGATAACACGTAAGAGTATCCAAATAACACATAAGAGAATCGATATTGAATACTCGTTGGTTTGATTGTGGATATTAGTTGATAATTGATTGGCTGAATACTAATTATGTGAGTTGGATACTAGTTTTGTGATGTTTTGAATAGGGATGGCAACAAAACCCAAACCCACGGGTACCCACCCGACCCAACCCGGTCAACGCGGGTAAAATCCGTGTTGACGGGTTTTGGATCGGGTTTGGGTTTAAACCCGTTCACTATTCATCGGGTTGGGTTGGGTTTGGGTTTAGGTAAACCCGACCCATGGGTACCCGCCCACACCCATATAATTAATTTTCTCGGTATATTTAATATTCTAAACAACTAATCATATTTATGTTTGTGGAGACATGTCTACTTTTTTCTTTCTAATTGTGTAGAACGAAGTTGATGTTATCGAGTGGAGAGCGAAGAAACTTAATTGAGAGGAAGAAGTTTTCAATTAATCATGTTATTTATGGATAATTTATGATTTGCTTCAATTTTCTTGAGTTTTCTAGATTGGTGTTGAACAATTTGTATAGTTAATTTGTGATTTGCTTGAATTTCAAGAATGGTGTTTTATATATGAATAATTTGTATTGAGAGATTGATATTTGGTTTTGATTTTGATAGGAACTTGTTATTGTAATTTCTTACGACAAAAACCCGTGGGTACCCATGAACCCGCGGATAACCAGCGGGTTGGGTTGGGTTTGAGTTTTTCAAACCCAGTGGGTTTTACCCCCGGGTTTTTTTTCACGGATAAACCCATGGGTTTGGGTTTGGAAAAACCTGACCCAACCCGACCCATTGCCATCCCTAGTTTTGAATACTAGTCTGTATTCTCTAGATACTGTATTACTACTTCATAAAATCAGCAGACTTTGACTACTAGTTGGTGCATTTTGGATATTAGTTAGTATATACTAACAACTTGGGATGTTAGTCGATTAACTTTTTCCGAGATATTTTGCTTTACCTTGACACATTGGAAATTATTTATCCCATATTAAAATATTCATTCAAATTAATTATATTGAAAAAGAAATACAACCCCGCCAATTTATTTTGAGATCATGAAGCGGCCCTACATCCTTTGGTTTGGTTGAGTATGCTGGCACATCTTCTTGATATGGTGATCTCAAACGCTCAGTTGGTGGTTTTAGTGATCTATTGGTTTGTTGTTGATGTTCGTCTGCAGAAGTGATGACCCTAGGAGAAGAGTTGACGTTGACTTTTTAAAGATGATGACGACTAGAGAAGATGACGACAGACCTTGGCAGAAGTTGTAGGGTCACTTTACGCTATTGAAATAAATGGCTGGTTTTTTTTTTCTCAATATAATTTGGGTGAAATACTTTAATATGAGGTAAATAAACATTGATGTATTAAGGTAAAAATAAACTATTCATATCGTTTCACATAATCTTGTTCCCATCACCATTTTCATTAGCCAAGTCAACATTATCAACGGTAAAACTAACAAATTGCTATATTTATTTGTCCAACATATTGAAAGTTTTGGCTATTTTATTATAATTCGAATGATTTTGGCTATTTCAGTAAAAAACGTTTAAAGTTTGGCTATTTTGGCTATTAACCCTATTTATATTGGATGAAACTAGTCTTACCACCATGTTAACAAATTTGGTGTTAGCACCCTAACCTCTGCCTATCATGTACTATTGTTTATTATTTACTCGGGTTACATGTATTTTTATATCCCCATTCTTAGGTGTTATCAAGATACTCTGAATGTCTTTGTGTCAATATGCATCATATTTTAGTTTAGGACTCTAGGTAGAGGTGGCAATTTCAATCCAATCCACCAATCCAATCCATCAATCCATTAAAAATATCCACCTAATCCAATCCATTCAAATCCAATTAGATTGGTGGATTCATGGATTGGATCCATGGATCATTGGCAAATTACGGTTTAGTACCTATAATTTTAATTTTTTACATTTTGGTACCTAAAATTTATTTTTTTATACGAAAAATATTATTGGAAAATTACATTTTGGTACCTAAAATTTTTCATTATGACATTTTAGTACCTAAACTTTTTACATTTTACATATTGGTCCTTGGTTGAGGATACCATTTGGATTCATGGATAATCCACCAATCCACCTGATCCAATCCATGAATCCACCAATCCATTAGATCCAATCCATTTGATCCATGGATCCACCAATCCACCAATCCAATCCATTTGCCACCTCTAACTCTAGGTTTACGATATTGCAAGTTAGTAAGTATTTGGGCACAACCTGGCCTAAATGAGTGTAAGTATAGAGGTATGGCAGGAAGACAGAAGCAAAATGTCCTAACCTCTGCATATAGTGAGTTTTAATGATGATAGCACCATGCTAACAAATTATTATCACACTAACCTCTCAATATCATATACTCATTGTTTATTATTATTATTATTTACTGGGGTTAAACATGTAGGAAGCCATTTTCTGGAGCAATTATGAATGGCTTTGTGAGGTAATAGAAACATCGACGGATGAGGAGCTGAGTTCATTCATAACAACCCTATGATTTCTATGGAAGGAAAGGAACAACCAGTTACTCAATAACCCTAAGCTGGAAGGATGGGAGATTATTGCTCGATCTGAACAGTATATAGAGGAATTCAAAGCAGTTCATGACAAGAGAACTCACCTGCCGGCATCCGCCAAGTAGGATTACAAATGGGAGAAGCCTAGAACGGGAACCTTCAAGGTGAATGTTGATGCTGCGATTCTTAAAGAAGGGGGCACTAGTTTCGGCATGGTAATTCGTGATGATACAGGGACCTTCAAAATGGCAGCAGTCCATCGAACTAGAACACCCTGGACGCTGGAGCTTGCTGAAGCGAAGGTGATTTTCTGGGCGATGAGGTTGTCAGTTATTCATCAGTACTTACCGTTGTTGGTTGAATCAGATTGTCTGACAGTTATAAACAAGATTCAGGAGGAAGATTGATATGATTTGGAGGTACAAACTATCTATGGGGAGATAAGGAAGATGATGAGGGAGAAAATGAGGGTTAGGGTTCGATTTTGGGGAGAAAAGTGAATGAACTGGCACACCTAATGGCCAAGGTGAGATGTAATTGGGATGAAAATGAGATTTGGTTCGAACGGCCACCAGTCATCGTAGTGAACCAACTCATTGCTTATGGTAATAACCCCTGCCTTTGATGTATTGATAAATTCCAGGCGAGTTACATGTTTGAATCTCGAGGAAAAAGACGGCTATAATTGAATGGGTTTACATAAAATATCGAGTAATATTTAAAATGGTTTGATTGGGTTGATGACTTGGTGTCCATTTCCATGGATGGCGCCCCCGACCGTGGAAGCTGGGCCTGCACTTCTTCACCCTATCCACCAACATTCGTCCCCATTTCCAGCTGCCTTACTCTTTACTTTTATTGCTCTCCTAACTTCGCTTCCTAATAATTAATTTTACTTAACTGATTTATGATGGCGGGTAGAGTCAAGTCATACAATATGATTAGTAACTTTAGATGACAGAGGGTTACTATTTGCCGTCCGTCTCTTTACTATTTGCCGCCCGTAAATTAAATTAAAATGACATTTTTACCCTTTGTTCATTTTTTATAAAACAAACCCCATTCCACTACAATACGAGCGACCACCACTGCGGCCGACAATAGACCATCGCCGGCCCCGCCACTCCTGCTGCCACCGGCGCCATTCCACCACCGCCGCCACCACCACCAGATCACCACCGCGGCCAGAACCAAATCATCACAGCTGGCGGCGGGCCCCGTCCGACGCCGGCGGGAGGACCCCGTCCGACGCCGGCGAGAGGACCCCGTCCGACGCCGGTGAGCGGACCGCGCATTAGCGACGGTTTCAAAACCGTCACAAAATTCGTAGCTAAACGATAATAATTATTTAACTCAATCTTCTATTTTTTTAATATTATATCCTGTTAATAATTATATGTATGTTTATTAATTATATTTATGAATTAGAAAAACTAAAAATTATTCATAATAAAAAAAAATTAAATTATAAAAAATATTGTACAAACTAATTCATACTTATTTTATAATTATGTAAATAGAGCTAAAATAAATATATTATTCATTTTAATTATGTAGAATAGTTATAAAATAGTTATAAATTTTGATTAAACCTTTTTAATTGTATTTATTTCATATTTAATAAGATCATCGTAGCTAAATTAAGTTTTATAAAACTTCCAAGGAATCGAGGCAGGAAGAGGACACTTTGCGGCTCAGGGAAGGTCGGGCAAAAACATCTTTTAGCAATTACTAGAGTCACCGACATGAAAAAATATTGAAACTTTCATCGATCTCTTAAAATGTGGATACAAATGTGTTGGAATCGATTGTTTATCAATTGGACATTCCCGACAAAAAGAGATGAATAGTGCCAAAACTTTCATCGAGGTGTTTTTAGGGCTCTGAGGGTGGTAACTAGGAGTTTCTTGAGCCTATCACGTATATTTCCACGAGACGAAATATTATTGTTAGTGGAGGAAGAGATGATTTTGCCTCTAAAATAATTTCCTAGTAGGATTGGATGGATCGAGGTTGAAGGTAGCTATTCAAGGGGAATGAGGGTTTAGGGTTTCAGAGGAGTATAAGGTATAGGAGGTGGATGAGATGCTTTCCTTCTTTATTGTCATTATTGGTCCAGTTGAGTCGAGTTGATTCTTATTCTTGTTATCCGTCATCTTGGGTGAGATTATTTCAACTGTGGTCAAACCCTAATTAAGTCAAACCCTAGTTCCCTCAAACAACTGTGGTCAAAATAATATATAATTTAGTCAAACCCTAATTCGGGTCAAACCCTAATTAAGTCAAACCCTAATTCGGGTCAAACCCTAAGTCAAACCCTAATTCCCTCAAACAACTGTGGTCAAAATAATATATAATTTAGTCAAACACTAATTCGGGTCAAACCCTAATTAAGTCAAACCCTAATTCCCTCAACCAACTATGGTCAAATAATATATAATTTAGTCAAACTCTAATTCGGGTCAAACCCTAATTAAGTCAAACCCTAATTCCCTCAACCAACTGTGATCAAATAATATATAATTTAGTCAAACCCTAATTCGGGTCAAACCCTAATTAAGTCAAACCCTAATTCCCTCAACCAACTATGGTCAAATTAACAATTATATACTAATTAAGATACTAATTAATTAAGATACTAACAATTGTATTTAAAATAAATCTAATAAATATTTATTTAAACCGAACCATTCAAACCGAATCATAAATCCAATTAGATCGGTCCGACCAGACCGGGCGGACGGGTCCGAACAGACCGGGCGGACGGGGTCCGCTCCGGCCAGTCGGACCGCGTCCGCTCCGGCTAGTCGGACCGCGTCCGCTCCGGCCAGTCGGATGGCGACTAAAAAAAAATAATAAAAAAATTCTCTTCGTCGAGCTTGGGAGGTTGCCGGCGTCGAGAGCGAGCGAGGAGGACTTGATTTGCGGCGGCAGCGCTGCTGTGGCGTCCTCTTTGGCGGCAGCTTCTAGGCTCGGCGGCAGCTTCTGGGCTCGGCAGGAGGGAGGAGTCGGCGGCGGCGGGAGGTCCGGCAGGAGGAGGGTCGTCGGCGGCGGGAGGACGGCAGGAGGAAGGAGGGTTGAAGGGTGGCGGCGGCAGATGAGTTGAGGGTGGGATAGGGTTAGGGGCAAAATCGTCTTTTTTTCTAACTATGGACGGCAAATAGTAAAACTGCGGGCGGCAAATAGCTATTCAGAGATGATATACCCCATGATACATAACAATAATATGATTTGAGCAAAGAATCTTCGGATCCAAAGCCAATGTGGCTTCATAGGCGACAATCATACTAGTTATCGTTGTTATATATTGAAAGGATTTTGTTTTTGTTTTTGTTAGAGTTAATATTTCTTTATGGGTGATATTTACATTAAAACTTTAATTCTATTTTTATGCGTATTATTTTATCATAATGGAACAGTCACAAAAATTGACGTAACCTTAACCATTATGATCATTTGCTCAACTATGGTTAAAAATAACTCAATGTATATGATCTGCAGCTTCATACTCCTAACTTTAGGTATTATTCTCCATTATGATGGTGATAATAATATTTGAACTATAAATCTCTTTATACGATACCAATGCCTTCACTAAATTAATACAAGATCAGTTCGGAAATTAAAGAAAGACTTACTAAGCCCAACATGATTAGATCATTCCTGATCCTAGTATGATACTTGGTAAATTGGCAATTTTGCTACGACTTACAGATCGATTATCCGTCGTCTTCGGAAGGTTACGGAATTTTGTTGTTACTGTTTTGGGGCTGGTTTTGCAACATTTTCTTCTTCAAGATGGATTAGATTAGACAGTCTGGAGAATGTAATTTGTGTCTCCTCAAGTATGGCAAAATTGTTCTTTCATGCCCATGAACATAGCTAACACACACCGTATTAGTGAATCACACATCGTCGATTTCCCAATCTGTTGCAAAGCGACCAGCGGCGGATCCAGAACGAAGTAGAGCACTGGGCCGCATTTCATTAGAAAATTAGATACCGTAAAAAAATGATGATAGTTTTTTTACAATGTCTATTGTACTCGATGATCTTTTGATTTAGCGAATGCATCAATAATGTAGTCTACATCCATATCAATAACACACTCTTTCAAATAAAATTGTTAAGTAATTGACGAGAAATTCATTGCTCATTTTGTTGTTTAAATAAGTGCTAAATTGCAAGCTTGGTCACTAAAATTACATCAAAAGTTCACGTTTGCCACTAAAATTAATTTATTCCATTCGTAGTCACTTAAATTAGGTTAACAATCCAAGTTTGGTCACTGGCCGTTAGTGTCTGTTAACTTTTACTGATGTGGCAGTCAACTGTTATAGTTGACCGTTAAATAAATGACGCGACAATTAATTTTTTTTTATTTTCACCTAATTATTATAAAAATCCTAATTTCCTTAATTATTATATTTCACCGCTAGACCGTCGCCGTTCCACTCCACCGTCACATGAATCCTTCCGCTGCCCAACATCTTTTCATCACTCGCGTTTCTCCTGACTCCTGCTAATCATCACCACCTCCACCTCATCACCGTCGATGAATGAGATCGCCCTCCGCCACGGGTACAATTCCCTTTTCATTCTCACACTCACTCACGCCTCTCTCAACCTCCATCCCTTGAAAAATAACCAACCAAGTGAATTCAGAATACCTCACAACCACCACCATGTCCCTTCTCTTCTCATTACTAGCATTTCTCATGCTATTCACCACCGTCAAACTGCCTCCGTTATGCGCTTCCAGTTCAACGACTGCTTCGTCAATGTAAACACAAGACCATAAAGACTGTTTTTTTTTTCTCTCTGTAAACTGAGGTTTGAAATTAATTGATCTATGTTTTTTTTTTCCTTGAATAGGGATGCGATGGCTCAATGCTGATGGATGACACAAACAACACAACATCGATTTCCTTCGAATCATCCTCTGTTTTATGACAGTGTTATTAAAACCGAGCCGGTCGGTCCTACTGGTAAAACTTTCATCCGGTCACCAAACCAGATCGACATACTCAATAAGCCGAAGCGACTTTTCGGAGCGGTTGGCGAGCGACCGAGACGGTTAACCGCTCGAACCGGTCAAGCCGCTCGCCCGGTTTTCGCTCTCTAGCCGCCCACCGAAATAAAAATTAAAATCCAAAAAAAAATCAATGGGAGGCTCGGATCTACGAGCGAAAGTGAGTGGGGTGGAGGAAGGCGATAATCGAGATGGCAAAGCAAACGTGCATGCGACGGTGCTGGTGGCGGCGGGCGCGACAGAGCTGCTTGTTACTTCCCGTCGGAGATTCGACAGAGGGTGGAGGTGAGGCTGGATATGATCTGTGGTGGCACCATGGTGGGATCTCAGCACTTCTTTTGTGGAGAAGAATCACAAAACAAATAAAAATGGAAGAGACCGAGAGTTTGAGAGAGAAGGGATGAGATTGAGAGGGAGAGATTGAGGGGAGGTGTGCGACGCTAATTTGGGTGGGATGGGATTAGGGTTTTTTAAGTCATATATAATATGTAATATTACTAAATGGTATCTGATAAAGTTTATTTTAGTCATTATATTGTTAAATTACTATCTTTTATATTTTCTACTTATGATATTATTGTTTATATATATGATACCGGTTCTCTAACAGTTTTTTAACTGCCCAATACCGGTTGAACCATTAAAGTGCGAGACATTCACGTTATCGGGTCATGCTCCGGTTCGGTTCTGACAACATTGGTTTTTTGTGTACTCTGTTTTCGTTCTCTTCGCCGAATCAGAAGAGTGGGCCCAACTGGGAAGTGAAGTGTTATGTGCTTTGGTTTGGGATCGAGTTTCTAAACCTTGATGCTCAGAACGAGGCCAAGGCTAATATGGTTTTAGGTTCTGCTTCTTAGGAGCAATGGTAGAGTTCTAGGATTTGAAACAAAAGGGGTGATAACAAGGAAAGGAAGGTAACATGGGAAGGAGAAAAAAAGTTTGGGAGCCAGCCTCCTGTAACAATGTACTCTTTGTTTATTTCTTGGCCCCCGATTACAACCTCTTTGCTAAATTAAATAGTCAATCTAAAACCCACTACCCCTAAAAATAAGTTAAGAAAGACAATCCCTCTAACAATGGAATCCCCAAATATCCGCCCACTAACAGTACGTAACATGAAGATGAGCCGGCTGGACAGCCTGACAGCAAGCCAAGCGGACTTCGACGCCATTATGCCGAGCCCTCGGGCCAATGGGACGATGCTTATCGACCTCTTCGCCCAGTACAACCTCTCAGGCTCCCACTCCATCGTCAAAGACCGGTGCTTTGCCATCCAGTTCCGCCTCTTCGCCCGATATGATGGAGGAAGTTAGGAGTAGAGACGATGAGGACGATGGACGAATTCATGCGACGGTGGAGAGGAACGGCGGCGGTGTGGCGGTGAAAAATAAAAATTAAATGAATTAGTTTATTTTTATTTTTATAATAATTAGATGGAAAATAAAAATTATTTATTATTTTATTATTTTTTAATTGCCACGTCACTCATTTAACGGTCAGCTAAAAGAGTTGACCGCCACATCAGCAAAAGTTAACGGAGACTAACGGCCAGTGGCCAAATTTGAACTGTTAACCTAATTTAAGTGACTACGGATGGAATAAATTAATTTTAGTGGCAAACGTGAACTTTTGAAGTAATTCTAGTGACCAAACTTCCGATTTAGCCTTTAAATAAGCTTTCACATGTTTCATTGTTGAAAAAGTTCTCTATGTAGTAGCCATTGAAACCAGTTGCGTCAACAGTAGACAAATCAATCGACTAATCAATTTCATTGTGTGTCCATTGCTATATCCACCAACTGCTCTAGTAATTTTCAAACGCTTTGAAGTTTTAGAATTTTAAGTTTCATTTTTTTAGACGAAAATCTTTGGGGCTAGAACTTCTAGGCTAAATTTAAAGTAGTGATTTAAATATGTTTATCTAAACTATTTTTCAAATTATACACAATTTTATTATAAAATAATACTGGGCTGAAAGTCAAATATCGAAAAATTCATAAGAACTATGCTAGCTCTGGATTCAGAGGAGGCTGGGTCGTGGCCCGGGGTGGCTACCCCTGGTCCGCCACTGAAAGCGACAATAACGTTTGGGTACTTAAAAGAGGAATCTTGTTTACCAAACGGAGATGAGATATAAGAAAAATTGCTAGACCAAATATAGTATAGTAGTAGCGTCTAAGGTACTTTACACTTAAAAAAAAAGTGTAAGGTACTTTACTTTGGCAAATGGCAAATACAAGAAAATATTGTCTACCAGATTACAAGAAAGCACAAGACTAACTTGGCAATAGCATTTGAGTTACTTAATATTTGTTTATTTTTTTCCGTTGAATTAATTAATAATCTTTTTGTTGAAGACTTCGAAGTTTTTATTATCCAATAGCTTGCCCATCCATAAAGAGAACTAGAGAAGGACAATGTGGACCAACGATGGAATCAAATATTCTGTTTAACAAAATAACCACCCGGCACACCCGACGAAAAGGACTTGGCATATTCATCAAAAAAAAAAAAAAGGACTTGCCACACATTTATCCCTTTTCATACTGCTCTTGGAGTTTGATCCTAATTGAAGGTATTAAAAGAATGAGGAATTTTGCAATGCTATATAGCATTTGTGTTATAGGTTTTTGTTTTTATGGTACAACATTGAATTGTACCTATACTTTTTTGTATAAATTCTTTTATAGTACAACTTGTACCTTTTGATTTTAGTGAAAGCCTAATTACAAATTGATTCCCAGATTATACCCTATTACAACTAGATTCTAATCGTTACAATCTCTACTCCTTGAGAACAACCTTGTCCTCAAGGCGGAAAACAATTAGGAAACCCACATACTTGAAAAATGAGAACGAGAACAAATAACATAAGGACAGAAACTCAAAAGGTGCAATGGATGACAATGGTGCAGGCTGCAATGACATCATATTGTAGCTCCAGGCGGGCAAATGCTGAGTAAAGGAAGAACCAAATGACTTTCATAATCCAAGTTGGTTTCACCATCAGCCCAACAAATCTCATAGTAGTGATATCAACATCCCTACTACTCCAACATATCCATAGCCACTCAAGCAAACATGAACTCAACCTTGCCATCATGACTATGAAATGCTTCTGCATCCCCATGATTTGATAGGATAATGTTCTCCAACCATCAATCAATGCCCACAATCCGAAGTCACTAATACCCGCTACAATGCAACTAGTAACGGCTCTCTAAAGTCAGGGCCAATCCCTCTATCTTAGGAAAAGACAATAAGCACAAAAACTTTCATGAGCAAACAACCCACCATCCTCGGAAACAAGACACAACAAACTAGACGATGAAGCTCATAGTCATCACACAACAGCTTACCAGCAACTATGTTCCCAAATACATCATCCTTGTATGGTTCCTTAAAGTTGAAGCAAACATTCCTTATTTTAAGCTTCACCCTAGGCCACCAATACTCATGAGTTGGTTGCAAAACACAATTCCATTCACCAAAGGACAACCTGACTCTAGGATCCAAGCTGCCATCTTCATACACACACCCAGTCAGTTCCGTTTTGCCAAATGCAACACCTGGAAACTTCATATAAAGTAGCCCACGAGCATTCACAATCAAGTAAGACTGATGCCTAAACCTGCAAGTCATTTGATCCACATACCCTAACACGACAACCTTGCCTGCAACTCCCATGGTCATGAATTCTATGGCATAAATAGTCTTGGAAGGTCCAGATTTAGCCATCAACTCCAAACTAATAGCCTTCACAGGAAAAATACCACTATCTCAACCAGAATTTGCTAACACACCCTTAGCATGTGATTCTGCAATCTCAGTTAGTTAACTTGGAGTGAACAAGTCCAGAGAAAGAAACAACTTAATAGTCATAGGAACTCCTTTGGTTGGTGAAATGGCATGACAATCCCTAGACAATGATTGTTGGTGCATTTTTCTTGTCTTAATGGAGACTTCTTCCAAATGAGCTTGGTGATACGCTTGTAGAAGAGTTTGTGGCTGAAACTTCCTCACCTATGCTCGAATCTCACTGAATAAGCCATGGATAAAACCAATAATGACGGCGAGATTCAGAGTGCTCCACTTTCGATTTTAGAAACTCGATCGCCAACCGAGTTGGGGATTTACCATCCACTGCAAAATTCGTCACCAATAGTCAAAGATTTGTCACCTCCTCCTAGTTTCAGCTCGACTCTCCCTTTAGGCGGTCAAATGGAATCAGTTCCTGCTTGGGCAACAGGGTTTCTATTTGGCAAAATCAATGGCAGGTTGACTCCAAGCAGTCGTTGCTCCTATCGGCGATAGCTTGCGACAGAATTCTCTAAGTTTCTGTTCCTTCTTCAATAGCCGATTCGGTTCCTTCTTCAATAGCCGTCAGAGATTGGGACATCTCCATGACTCCAATTCCACAGCAGGCATAGCATGTTTGGAACTAGATCGTTTCACCCCACATTGAGCAACTTCTACTTCTCCACTTCCAGTGGAGCTCGATAAGGATTAAGAACCGATTCCTTTATCAACGGATGTACGTTACTGTGAATCGGAAATTCCTATCTTCTTCGGCGACAACCCAGCGGGATAGGCTAAGTTGTGTGAGAAAATGTTCATTCTCTTTAATATTCCCAATGATCAAAAGGTGAAGTTATCAGTAATCAATTTTGGCCATAGGGCAGGTGTTTGGTTCGAGAATTGGGCTTATATGGTCGCTCAGTGTTGGTATGGATGGAATTTGTGGATAGCTTGTGTAGGCATTTTGGAACTCTATTGCAGCGTGCAGATTACTTGAGTATGGACAGTCCAATAACTAACACAGGGAATGAGATTGTTGAATCTTTCCCTAATGCAACCCTAATTGTTGGGAATGGGGGTTTAGTTGTTGAGTTTCAAGATTCAGATTCAAGAGATTTGTTAGCTAGAGGTTGCTCTGCAGATGTTTTGGGTGGTTGTTTAGTTGTAACAGAAATGGGGAAAGACGATGAGTATGATGAGCAAAAGACAATAGCTCCATACCTTGGCATTTTAGACCCATTGGGAAATGGCAAAGCAACTGAAGTGACTCCTGGTAATGAGGTTTGCATCGAATCAGTATCGACCCTGCTGCGGCCAAACTTGAATGAGAACAGACTCAATGATGAAGGGGGTTGTGTTGGTTGCAAAGGCTATGGAAATGGGTCGTTTACAGTTGAAGCAAGTGGTTTTGGGAGCCTACTGAGATGCAATTCCATTGTGTTGCTTTTGATCAGTCTCCAGATATGTTTGGTTTTATGGAAAAGGTAGTTCCGAACTATGCCAAAGATTAGCCTGCAGAAACATCATGCAAGAAGCTCACACTTGAGACTTCTGAGTTACAGGGAAGTCGTGGGTTGAAGGAGCCAACTTTTGATGAACTTGAAGGCATAGTGAGAATCAAACAAGCAGTAACACGAATGTTCCAAGCAAGAGTAGATGAGTCTAAAAGAGAAGTTGTGGGCTACGAGTTGGCGTTTATAATAGTTGTGGAGCATTTGGAGCATATTGCTCATCACAACAGGAAATGTGGTATGGCAGTGGGGATGTTGGGTATCAGATTTATCCAACTTACTATAGTGTTTGTGTTATTTCTTGTGGCAGGGGTAGTAGTCCTGATTTCAATGAAGTATACAAGGGGCTGGTATTTGCTATAGGGGTTGCCATTTTTGTCATCTTGGGTAGAAATCACAACTTGCAACTCATCTTCTTATGTTGCCTCACGAGGAGCTATCACATGTTGCAACATTCTATAATAGCCTTCCTATTTAATCCTTTGTGGTGATATCTTTCTGGGTTGTTATGGGTTCCAATTGTTTTCAGCCTTGAGGACAGTCCGTTCTCAAGGAGTGGGGATTGTAATAATCAGGATGAATTTGTCTAGAATGTTTAGTTGGGGGGTCACTTTGTAATTGGGTTGTCCTATATATTGATTTGTATGGTAAGGAAGAGAGTTAACGAATTACAGAGCAACTAAATACATAATTTTCCCCCTCTTCTTCTTCTTCCCTCCACTGCAACTTATATGGTCTCTTCTTCCTTACTTTCGTCTTCTTCCTTAATAATCCTTCTTTCTCATGTCCAATTCCATGTCTTCTCTGCTAAATCACCGGAAATCAATCCCTCCACTGACCAGTGACCTCAACTCCTATAGGCCGCGCCACCGCGGCTGTGAAAGCAGAATGGTGGGCAGAAGTAGTAGCGATGGCGGCAGCGGAGACCAATAAAAGGTATTTTTGGTTTGTGGTTTTGAACAGCAACTGCTCGATTTTGGATTAACCCGATCGCGAACCGCAAATCGTAAAAAATTTATAATGCATATTAGACCGCAAATCTTACGGTGCAATTTGGTTCGATCGCAAAAGCAGTTCGGTGCGATTTGCAGTGGGTTGACCTCACCAATGCCCACCTCTAAACGAACTGAATATGATACAGTGGATCAAGGTTTTTTTAAATCCTGTTGCCCGTTCCCAAACTTGAACTTCCACGAGAGTCTATGAACTTCCAAAACTATGTCACTTGATCCGATTTAAGGTTTGTCCTTGAAGATCACGTCTTTCAAGAACCAGTTAGTCCCAATAACTCGAGTTGTTGAGAGAGGTTCAATCGTGAATCATATACTGTTTACTAACACACACCCTCAAACTCAAGCCACTTAGATAGGCTTTGAGTTTGCACAGGCACAAGTCCGGACATCATGTGCTTAACAGAAATAGAAACATATGGGGGTCGTCGAGATTAGAACCAGTTAGTTCCAATAACTTGAGTTGTTGATAGAGGCTCAATCGTGAATCATATACAGTTTACTAACAACGTCCTCCAATTCACGGATGTGATCTTTGATGTCATGGTAGTGGACTATGAAGTCGCAGTCGAACACTAGCTAGTGACTTGACTATGAGAGTTTATTTTTATCTTCAGAAATTATTTGTTTGATATCATGGTCTGAGCACCAAAATCACGGAGGTGATTTTTCTCACCTGTTACTGAAGTCAGATCATGGACAGGGATCATAGCCGTGGTCTTTTTCCTGTTATCAGAATCTTTGATCTTCAACCCACACCTTTGCACTTGTGCCCAATTTGACTCGAGTCCACTTCAACACTCAAATATGTCGCCTCAAATCTAATGAAAATGAATATGAAACCATCCTAAGCTAAAATGCTATATTATAGGGTGCAATTATGCCCAATTACTCACGAAAACACATATTTTAAGGATTATCAGTTTGTGATGCTCAAAATCAATCCTTCCATGAACATCCCCACCAGAGCTGCTTGCCTCCAACCAACATAATAGTTCACATGTCATTCTCTTGTCATGTGAATGAAGATGGGCGAAAGTTAGTAACGGAATTGCCATATGTCATGTTGTATATGCTTTGTTCCTGTTGTGTTGCGTAGAATGGGGAAAACGAAATGAACACACTATAACTTTTTTTTTACCGTACGTGGTATAAGTTATGGTAAGATTGTTTGACATTCAAGTAGAATTACAAAGATGATAACGCAAGACACAATAGATAGCTACTAACCTACACATACTGAATTACTGATACTGCAAACCGGTTATCATTTCTTTTTTTTTTTAATAATCCCTACGACTTTCATTCAATTCCACGTAAGAAAAAAACTGGGGGCCTGTCAAGTTAGGCCTCAGTATCCCCCAATTACACGCAATACGGGCCATCTAGTGGGCTGCGGCATTTCCATTTCGTCCCCAAAAGCGCCACTCTCTTATAGATGTAAAACCCTTCGCATCTGCTGACTGCTAATCTCATCTCCCAGCCAAATGCTTTCGCCTCTGCGATCTCTGGTTCCAAATTCACCTTCATTCGTTTCACCACGGCCATCCTTGTCATCTTTTTAGTAGGCTTTACTGCTTATGAACCCAAATGTACAGCATATTAGCCCAACTAATCATCCAATAGCCAATAGCAATGAAGAACAACAGTCGGAATCTGCACTTTCGACCCGGTCCGGTCACCCATCTGCCTGCTTCCGGTAGCTTATTACGCCCCTCCCCCAGGATGATACAGGGGGCAAATGACACCGGAAGCCACCACCAGCCATATACCCCTATTGAGCCAGATTATACGAGGAATCTCACTAAAAGGAACAAGGCAATTTATTGGTAATGAAAAACAAGGCAACTTCTTATTCATCCCTCATTCCTATCTGTATTGTATAAAAAAAATATCCATTCCATTTATTGCAGTCCAACATAGCTAGTTACATTAGCTCGATCGGGCAGGTGCAGTAGCTATTCTTTTACCCTTCTACCAGCTCAGAGAATGATACAGGACTACAGGACACACTCAAAAGTTTCGATTTAATGGAAGTTCATGACCGGCGATGCTGCTTCAGTAGCCAGGACCTCCAACTCGATCACGAGGTATCAAGCGCAGTTCAGAGCCATGCTTGAGGAAGACATTACCTAAGCCAAACCAAAGATTGAAATTAGCAAATAGCAATGAAATGAAATGGGGGAAAAGCGGACACTCAGCTTTGGAAATGATTTTGGCCAAAATCTCATACTGTAGAATGTTAATTATTGAACCTTAGGGCATAATTGACACCCAACGGAACCACAGCACATAAAATGACAATATAGCGTATCTGGAAAAGGAAAAGGACAAACATACCTGCACTTTGTTGGGGATTAATTCCAACTCCATCTGCATACCCAACCAACAAAAACAATGCAATTCTAAGTACGAACTAGGAAATTTACAAATGAAAAAAGAACATAGAAAAATGCTAAGTCAATCAACCTAGGTTTTGCACAACCTGTAAATGCAAACGAGTAGCCTGTTTTGTACCAGAAAAACAGAAATGCATATTTAAGAAATTAAAAAGTCGATCAAACACGTATATAATCAGTAGAAGAGTAGAGGGTAAAAGTAGCTCATCCCAGAAAAAATTGAACGAGTTGGCTAGAGATTGACAAGGTACTGATTCATTTCAGCTAAAGCTCCTCTACAGCCAAGATCTATCTTTTCAAGGTTCCACTCCTTTATGCAGTTGACCTAGAAGGCAATTTAACCTTTTCCTCTACAACTCGAGTTAATTGTATTATCTTGTTATAACCAGAAGGTTTCTCCAGACATCAACTCAGTCAACAGCAAAGCAAGCCATATAGTGGCATATACTAAGTTAACAAAACGAAAAAGGCTTGATGGAGGCAGCGAAACATCACAAGCAAGGACTGCTCAAGGTTCGATGATATCGACACGGAGATCATGATCACAACAGGCATTTCACGGTGACATGTACCAAACCTAAAACAAATTCGATGTACCAAGACAGTTTGGGATGGCAGACCATAAATGACTGACAAAGAATCCTAATCAACTATCAGAGCTAGCAACCGAGGCACATATTATTAATGTGTAGGCTCAATCTATTGAGTTGCAGCACTTATTAATGGCAGATCATCAGATGCTGATATCGAGCCTAAACACGCCATGACCCCCTTCTACCTCTCTTCCCTAGCTAAAGAAAATGATTTTAGGCCACAATAAAGAGAAACCATTCCTACTGAGCACTGAGCAAAGAGTTATGCAGACTACTTGAAACCAGAAACAAGGCCAAACTGCTACAAATTTGATGGAGTCAGACCAGTTTCACATTCACGGTATCAGAACAGCTTTCGAACTAAACCCAAGTTTAACGCTGAGATCAGAGTCCCAAATAGATCGCACAATGCAATTGGCAGACTCTAATATTACAGAAACTTTCAAGGATACCGTCGATCAACTTATGTAGACACTGTTCACCTAAATTATGAACCAGAACCCCAAACTAGAACCTTCAAACCTAGCACACGATTAAAAACGACACAAGAATCAGAAAAGAATTCAAGTACCATTTGTGATGATCGCACTGGTCTGGGGAGGCACTTTGAATTCCTCTGCTGCGAATTTCAAGACGGCGGTGAACGGAGCTGCTTCTGGCACGCTAAACCTGAAAGAAAGAAAAAAAACACGATAAAACTGACAGATCAGCGCACCAAAGTCAATCGAAGAGAGAGACTGAAAAGACCACGATGGTGAGGCGTTGGCTTACACTTTGAAAGGAAGCTTTGGATCGGAGGTGAGAGTGACTTTGAAAGAGACTTTGCCTCCGCCGCCGCTCGCCATTTTCGCAGCCTGAGGAAATCTGCGGGAAGCCGGGAACAGAGGGGAGGAGGAGGAGATGCTGCTGAAGTGATTGAGCGACGAAGAGAAGATACTGCACGTATCTGGTTCTGTCGCGTCAGTAAAACGCAAGATGGAATATTGGTAACGCGCCTTTTCTCGCCTTCTGGGCTTTGTTCGTCACAACTAAGGCCCAACATCCTCTTTTGTAAACAAAAGACCAGCCCGTAGTAAATGTCTATTTTTTATTCAAATTTTTTAGATTCTTTTATAGTATATAAACTTATTAAAATGGTATTAATTAGTCAAATTTTTCGTAATGTATCAAAATATTAGTCACTTTTACATTATCGTTAATAATTTTGAAACTCTTTTCTTAGTTAAAATATTAAAATTTTGGAATGTTGACCTTCTTGTCTCTTTCAAGTCAATATAATGTTGCCAAGTCAATATTACTAACAAAATTGCTCACTGAAAGTTAAACATTTGCTAATACTTAGTATTTCAATATGTTTGGATAATACAAAAGAATCTGAAAAAAAGTTTGGATAAAAAATTGACATTACTTTTTTTTAAGGAACTACACTTTATTTTTAGATCTTCTCTTTCCATCGGTCTTCACCTCTTCGGTTTATTTTTGGGTTGCTATATATCGCCCTAAAAATCCTTATTCATGGCCATAACTACGCTAAATTTACTTTATTTTTCTTACTTTATTTTTTGGGTTAATAGCACAAATTACCCCTCTACTATGGTTTTTTTATCAAACTTGCCCCTCTAGTATGTTTTACATCAAACTTGTCTTCCTACTATTACCATGATACCAAATATAGCCTTCTGTTAATTTTTTCATCCGGGTACCGTTAGCTTCGGTTCGACTGGTCAAAATTTACAAAATCAGAACGGGAAAAGACAATTTTACCCCTCCATTCTATTAACTTCCATCCATGTAATTTCCCTTCCCACTCCAAGTCCAAAGAGGCATGGTTGACTTCCTCACTCCGTTCTGGTTGTTGACCCCGTACTTAGGGATGGCAATGGGGCGGGTTTGTCTAAACTATCCTCATCCCCATCTTCAAATATCCAAACCCATACCCGCCCCATACCCATGCGGGGGAATGTTTTGCAAACCCATCCCCATACCCGTGGGTTTCGGGTACCCATGGGTAATACCCGTACCCGTACATCCAACATTATTATCCTAAAATTTATAAGAAAAGTTTTAACTACAACTCTAAACGTACCTATTATATCACGAATTCAACAAAACATGATCATTTTCTTAATACGGTTCAAAGAATATGATCCTAAAACATTCGTTAATACATAATATAGAGTATAATATTTTTCTAATTATTATGTTCTAACTCTGACGCATCTACTAAGTAATAATTAACTAACATAATCTTGTTGGCAAGGGGGAAGTGAAAGAGTGAAAGGAGAATTGAGGGAAATGAATTAGGTTTTGATTAAGGTGGCCACTCAATTACATTTCTACTATTTATTTCCTCGAATTATCCTCATCATCATTGATAGATTACAATTTGATCCACATATTTTTGTATATGTGAAGAAATTCTCTTGGTGGGGCGGATATGGGTATGGGGCGGGGGAGGCTAAAACCATACCCGCCCCATACCCATCAAACTTTTTGCGGGTTTTACTCATACCCGCCCCATACCCGGTCAAAACGGGGATTACCCGCGTTGACTGGGTCGGGGACAGTCGGGTACCCGCGGCCATGGGTTTGATTGCCATCCCTACCCGTACTGTTTCGACTCCCCTCTATTCTCCACACCAACGACGGCGCCACTTGTATCCTGTATGTTACACAACTCATCAACCAAAAAACCCCCACCCTAAATTCCAATTCCCATCACCAACAACAGACTGAAAATCCAAAACTACACTTCGGCGAGCGCTTCAAGGATTGGTGTGCTCCATCATTCTTCTATAAACACCCCGAACCTTCAATTTGCGTGAATTCGCTTAGAATAAAGGTTCCCACTGTCAAAATCAGGAGCGTGCAAACAACAATCGAGATCAACACAACGAACACAAAATTAATGTGGTTCACTAATACAATGTGTGCTAGCTAGCAGAGGAGAACAAATTTCACTAATTTGAGGAGAGTAGAAGTTACAACCCGAATTCCGGAACTGAAAACCAAACTAACTAACCTGACTGACCTAACTACAGATTAGGGTGATGAAGAGTATTTATAGAACTCTTCTCCTAATCCCAAACAGAAAACCAAACACCTTTTCCAAACATATAAGGAGAAGGTCAAAACAAAGCCAAAACACAAACCCAAACTAAATAGACCCACACACAAAACAAACCCAAATCTAATTCAAGTCATATTCTAACAATCTCCACCTTGACTTGAATCACCAACATAACATGTCAAAATAGAACCTTGTAGATTATACAAGGCACCCCGCTTGATAGATTTCAAAATCACCTTAGAACCCTTGTAGACATATATCACTCCACCTAGCCCAATCAGTATGATGTCTTTTGGGGAGGACACCCAAAAGTAAATCTGTGCGGGCTTGGCCAAAGCGGACAATATCGTACTAATTGAGCTTCCCGGTTACGATATGTGGTATCAGAGTCTGGTTCAGTCCGGGGCGGTGGACGTCAGTTTGGTGGGACCCTCATTCGGTGACCTCAGGATTTGAAATATGCGTTTGTCTGGCGAGTCAAAGGTGATTCGCGTCTGTTTGGTGGATCCAGGAGAGATCCATGTTTGGGCTTTGGCGAATCTAAGAGAGTTTCGCATTTGGGAAGCAGATCAATGACAGTTTTGCGTCTGGTAAAGTCCTTGTACCGAGAAGTCCATCGATACAAGGCGTCTGGCGGATCAAGATAATCGGTGAGGATAGTACACAAAGTTCGTGGTCTTTGTCTTGAGGGGAGGATTGTTATGGGACAATCCAAGTACCACATCGGAAATACAAGGGAAGGAACCCTTGTATATTAGTGTCCACCAAGTTCATTAGTACGAGACCTTTTCGGGAAGGATACCCAAGAGTAAAACCGTGTGGGCTTGGCCCAAAGCGGACAATATTGTACTAATTGGCTGCTCAGTTACGACACCCACCCACTGCCATCGTTTGTTGCTTTGGAGCCCATAAGGTGAATTTTCTCCCCAACAAGCTTGTTTTTATAGTTCTAACAAGTACAAGGTAGAAGATGACAAATTCTTTCAATTAAGTAATGTTTCTTTTTTGGACAATAGGACCACTTGATCATCACTTATATTATTCCTTGTGTGGTCGTCCTTTTCTTGAAGTTACTTCAAAGGAGGTAAAACTCTTTCTCTACTTTAATCAATTCTTTATTGTGGCATGGATGTTGGTGGATAAGTATGATTTGAAATTTGTTCAAGGTTTTAGAATGAACAATCCAACCATCATCGTCCACGCCGGAGGACAATTTATGAAGATTGGCGATGATGCAATATATGAAGGAGGAGAAGAATTATCCTATTCTGATATAGATCCTGATCTAATTTGCACTTGGGATCTTAACATAATGTTAAAAGATGAAGGAAAGTATACATATGATTTTGAAATGTACTTCAGAATTTCTAATGGTGAAGGTGTAAATGCATGGAGACTACTATCTAATGACACATATATTCGGGATTTTCTAGAGCAATTTAAAGACAAGAATGAATATCATTTGTACATTAAACATGCAATGTCTATTCCCGAAAAGGTAACTTGGTGTTTCTTGTTCGTTTAGTTTCAGTTAGTGTTTCTTTGCTTTAAGTGGATTTTTTAAACAATGGAGAAATTAAAATCTAAAGGATAGAACGTACAACTTGGGAATTTTGTATGCATGGTGGTTTTTTTTACCTTTCTTCCTTGGTTCCCAAAATCTAATGTGTGCAACTCTATGGTTTATAGGATGATGAAAACCAAGTAGCTGCTGAAAATCCTAATGGCGCAGAGGATGATGTAGACGGCTTGACAACATTTGAAGAGGGTGTGTGGATTAATAATGAATATGGTGATTCTGATAGTGAATTTGAGGCACACCAGGAGTGGGTTAGCGATGAGGATGTTGAAGTTTTATGTAAAGTTCAATTTTATAGAATAAACAAGTCTGGGAATTTAAGTTGTTCTACTTGGTATGTTAAGTTTGACGTAAACAAGGTTTTAGCATTCAAACATTAAGTAAACAGGTCTGGGAATTTAACTTTTCTACTTATATAATTATGTGGAACGGAAGGGTAATACCGGGGAAAGAGTAATAATATAATGGGGAAGTAGTTTAACAAGGAGTGTACTGATTGAAGTAATAATAGAGAGGGTAGGGAAATTACACGGATGTAAGTTAGTAGAACGGAGGGGTAAAATTGTATTTTCCCATCCTGTTTTTGTGGATTCCGACCGGTTGAACCGAAGCTAATGGCTCCCGGATGGAAAAATTAACAGAAGGCTATATTTGGTATCATGGTAATAGTAGGAGGGCAAGTTTGATGTAAAACATAGTAGAGGGGCAAGTTTGAGAAAAAACCATAGTAGAGGGGAAATTTGTGCTATTAACCCTTTATATTTTTTGTCTTTCAAACACTTAAACTCTAAAACAAAACATACACTACACCAAATAACTAAATACATCCAAGAAACAACACCAAACAAGAAAAAAGAGAAAAAAAAAATCTTACACTAACACCTTTCGTTGTCCACTCTTTGTCGGAGTCCTCCACCTCACCGGAGGCCCAATCGTCGCCGTCAGCACAATGTGAAGAAGAGCATTTTTAATGATTTTTTGGGGCCACACGGGTTTTCAACATGTACGGACATTTCTCGAATGGGTTTTCAGTATGTCCAGACAGGTTTCTAGCATGTTCCGACATGCTTGGTACAAGTAGCTAGCATGCCCACGAATGCTTGGGACGGGTTCCCAACATGTCCCGAACATAATTTATTTAACTTTTGGATTAAATTATCTCTAAATTATAACAATATTTTTGTTTATTAGGGAGA